AGTTTCATTTAAAGTTGCTAATGCGACACTTTGTATTAAAAAATGTCCTAAAAAACTTGTTAAGATGCCTAAAAGCGTCATATAAACTTATTACAACACTTTTAGATATGACATTTTATATTTTGGTCCTATAAATCAAGTCTTATAAAGAGGTCTATTGAGACACTTAGAGATTGGGGTGTCCTATAAACTCAATTTTGTTGTAATGTTTTTTAATATCTCCAAAAAAGAAAATTAAAAGAATTGGTTTTGGTTATAGAAATATACATATATCCATTCAGCAGAAGAAGAGTTGAAGTGAGAAATAGTACTCTTGATCACTTTTAATCTCAAACTAACCCATGAATCACGCTTGATACAAGAATTGATCCGTTGTATCTTATCTTAATGTGCATCCATGATGGAGGTTTTTTCTTACGTTTGTCACTTTAACTTTTTTTCTCACACGATCTGCCAATCTATATATACATATATGAATATTATGTCAACTAAAATTTGTTGCAAAAATGAAATTGAAAGGTGGAAGAGACAAGAAAAAAGGTGGGCAGAGGAAATCATGTGGCATGTTTGCATGGGTAAAATTTTACTGTTCAATTTGCATGGAAATCATCACCGGTCACTGTCATTGTCATTGCAGATTGCAGACACAGAAATCATATCTCCAGCCCAGCTGCTCAGGTATACTCAGTAAAAAACTTCTGCATCTTCTTGTCACATGCGCTGAAATCCACCTTTTTCAACAGTAAAAAAACAGATGTCCCATACATGCTTATGATTGAACTTCAAACCACAAGAGTTCTTAGTTGTTACAACATCTCTAATAGAAGGTATTAAGAACTTACAAGGGCAACCCCTCCACTCCACCACCTATTTTCTTCCCACCATCTTCATTCACGGCCACTGTTCTACACCATTCAGTCACTGCTCAGCATCTTCTCCAACCCTCCCATTTCTTCTACTTAATTAAGCTTCTACTGCTATTTCGGATTTCAAGGGGTTGGAGAAGATGGTGTCAGAAAATAAGATTATAGGAGAAAAGTGCAGAAAAAACAATGTGTGATTTTTCATTGTCCTTAAAATATTATTAGCCCCCACTAATCTAGGTTGTTTGGGTTGTGACCCCCAAGATTCCCTAATAAAATAAAGAGATTCAACATCTAAATACGTTTATCAACGAACAATCTGCAGAACTAGAAGAAGTATAGGGAGGAATGAATTAATTAGATACCATGAATGATGTCATGAATATACATACATATATATATATATATATATATATATATATAGGTTTGTGTATATAACTTATTTGGATAAGATAAAAAAACTGAAATGAAAAAGCGGCCAAAAACTCGTAACATACATAGTGAAGGACGCGAGTTTTATAAAAATCTTGGAAATCGCACATGCTCTAGATCTAGAGCTATCTTTTGACCATTTAATATGTGTGTAAATACCACAACACTATATATCTCTTAAATAACTTAACAAGAAGCTTAGAACCAATAACCTAAGAAAGATTTTTTCACTCTTCCTATATATATATGGGACAAGTGAAATGCTTTAAGACATATATAGCTCAAAATACAAGTAGGATAGTGAGACTATCCTTTCTATGTGGAACAGAATCTCATTATGAACACTAAACATACAACTGATGGATGGGGGGATGCGGGTAGGAAGATGCCTTTAAAGGTTAATCAAAACCATAGCAACCAATTTAAAAGATGGGTTTCTTTGTTTGTTGCTGATAACTGTTGTGGTCTATCTCCACCTCCCATCATCAACAACGGATGTTCAAAGAGGAGGTCTTTGTTGAATTCTAAGAACAACGTGACTGAAGAGAATACCAAATGATGGACCTGCTATTCATTAGCGGACCAAGTGTGTAAGGAGTGGGGGGATGGGACCCTATTAAAAAATTTTGCAAGGGTTAAAAATAGTTCTTTTACTTTTTACCTTGGTCCCTCAGTAAATTTGCCCCCACTTCACAACCAAAAAAGCATCTCGAATTCAACAAAAAACTTTAAAAATCCATTTGAACGCTGGAATTAGACTAAAAACACATTGAGTGGTTTTGCAGGCCGTTAATCTACCAAAGGTGCCTTCACTAGACAAGAATCATGGATCCACCACTGCTGCTATGGTAAAGATTGCAAGAGGAGCAGATTGATGACGCACCTATGATAGGGTCACCGAAGTTGATTCTATCTAGGATGACAATGAAGATGGGGCTGTAAGTTAGATTTGTTGTTCCTTTTTTTAAAATATTTAACAACTTGTATATGTGTCTTAAGAACTTGTGCATTAATACTTTTAATAAAAGATAGCAAAAAGGCAAAAATGTCCCTCACTTGACAAGCTAAGAGCACTTAATGGCACCTTCAAATAGTTTAACAGTCTGGGATGAAATCCGTAATTAAATACAAACCCCAATACATAATGAAGATTCAAGGGCAATCAACGGAGTTGTAAAGAGGCTCAGTTAGTAGTCGTTATTGAATTCTGAAAGATGAGGCTTGTCGGAGTTGATTGTAGGTTGAGGATGAAGATGGGGTGGGGAGTCACCTTGGAGATAGGCTAGATTTTGTTTCCTATTTTCTTAGACCTTTAACAACTTGTACATATGCCTCAAAAACTTTCATATTAATTTTTTTAACATAAAATATATAGCAAAAGAAGGAAATCCTCCACATGTGACTACTGACTAGCACGTAAGGGCACTTAACAACACCTTCTAACCATGCTAATGACTAAGGAAGACATTCGTAATAAAACACAAACCCAATTGACGTTGCTTGTAATTTAAAAAAGTTAGAGACGAAAACCAGAGTTTACACAAATCCTCTAACCTGCAAGACCTAATATATATATATATATATATATATATATATATATTAGCAATTTATTTAGACTCAGCCTTTTAACTAAAAGCATATCAAATCTATGACCGACATTCTTTACTGATTCTAAAATAATCATAATTGCGCCCTTTTTTTGAGGATATTGTATTAATGTAGGTAAGGATGTGGATATAATGTTTGATAATTAATTTTATAAATTATATTTGGATAATATTTTATTTATTTTTATTGCTTTTCATAAATAACATCACATTTTAGTTGTAGGAATACCACAAAATTTTGTTAACGATAAAAAAAACATGAATGCCTAACAAAAATTAACGAAGAATTAAAAAAAAGATTAAATGGAATTGATAAAAGACATTAATTTCCAACTTAGAGAAGGTCGAAATGGGCCTGTTCAGCCCAAAACTGGTGTAGGACCAAGACCAATTGGGATCGGAACCGGTTATGAACTATCATTTTTTATAAATTATATATCAAGTTTTTTAAGATTTCTATAGTATTTTCAAGTTTTTTAACAAAAAACTCAAGTTTCTTTAAGTTCTTTTAAATTTTTCAAGTTTTTTTTAAGTGTTACGATACTAAATTTTAAGTTTCCTAATTATAAAAAACATGTATAACATTTGTGTGTAAAAAGGATTCTAAAAAAAATTAAAGTGTATTTGAATGACTTTATTAGAGATTTTAAAGTGTATTTTAATAAGATATTGCAAAAAATTATATGTGCAAGATTGATTTTTGAAAGATAAAAAAGTTGGGGCGGATTTGGGTCTGGCCCAGGACCGGGCCTTATACATGGAAGACGGTCTGGGTGTTTCTAGTTGGGACCGATTACGTTGGGACAAGTTACAAAAAGAAAATCTCGGACCAGAACCGATTGGACCTATCTCGGCCTGGACCGGTTTTTAACATCTCCATGGTCTGAAAAAGTAAGGGACTGTTTACCAAATGTTTACCCGGGTAAGCGCTTACCAAGTCACATTACGGGATAAATATGGCAAGGACCAAGAATCGCAATAAATGCTAAAGTAAGGACCAAGAATCGCGGTAAATGCTAAAGCAAGGACCAACAGTCTTACCTCGGCAAGTGATGACGATGACTTTTACCATGGTTAGCGCTTACTGAGTACATTGTTACATATGATACCATTTTGATGGACTAAAATCTTACTCAGTAAGTAAGTGATAATATTGAATTATACCGATAAACACTTACCCGAATAAACATTTTGTAAGCGATCCCTAAGCTTTATAGATATGATCTCGGCCCAAGGCCATTTTTGCACCTCTCATCAACCTTAAATTAATTTATTGAACTTTTATTTTGTATTATTTTCTAGAATATATCAAAACAAATTAGTCGTAAAAACTATTTGTTTATTCAAAGCAAAATTATGTTAATCAATATAAAGAATTTAACAACTTAATAATGTCATCACAATTGCTTGCAACCACTATGTAAATTAAGATTCTAATTGGTAAGTGCCATGTAACGTGAAATCAATTTGAAGTATTAGGAGTCTTAGTGGCCGTTTACCCAATTACTTACCCGGTAAGCGCTTACCGATAGGAGTCAACACTATGATTTATTTTGATGCGTAAGATTTTAGTATATCAAAACATATCGAATGCAACAATTTACTGGGTAAGCACTTACCTGGGTAAGAGTCGTCATCCTCACTTACCGGATAAGACTATCTATTCTTCTTATCACTCTTACCAGGTAAGATTATTGGTCATTTTCATGTTCATCTGATGAGAAAATTTATCCGGTAAGCACTTATCAAGTAAGTATTTAGTAAACGGCCCCTTAGTGAAACCACGATTTTTTTTAAACCATAACTTATAGCGATAAATATGTATTCATATATATCTATGTATGTATAGAGAGAGGGGGGAGACTTGAATCACGTGAGACCAGTTTGTTTTCATGAGACCCGTTAGGCCATTTTTTTAGTTGAAACTTCACAACAAAACATTGTGAAGGTAACCTTCACAGTGCTTTGCTGTGAAGCTTTAAAGGTAAAAATATGATCTTGTGGGTCTCACAAAAACAGGTTAGTCTCACGTGAACTCATCCCTATATAATAAACACTTACACAATATTTTCAACTATTGCTTAATGATTAAATGATACTAAATAATTTGAATTATGTTTATAAATTACATTGAAAAGGTAAGAAAAATAAAATCAACTCAATACATCTATGCTCAATATCTAGATCTCCAATAATCAACCCTCTCATTGTTTTATATGATACAACTATTTCATACACGAATAAAAACGGATGTGGTCGAAATTGTGCATCACGCCCCCAAAAAAAATGGAACGCAACCACTATACAAATTACGTACATTTTTCATGCACAAAATTTGTCGGTAATTACTGCCAACGATCATAATAAGAACGGAAAACCACCATTATCAGCTGGGATTTATTCTGAAGACTCTATTATACCATATTGAATGAAGTATCATATGAAAGATGTCATACTTCACAGGCTTAACATGCCAAAGAAAATGCTGTTGTACCTGCTTAACCCTTTCCTGCATCACCAGATACCTTTTCTGTGGAATCGAAACAAGAATATTCTTCAGATTAGCGATTTCTTTCTCCTGAACGAAAACTGCAAACGATTCCCAATTCAAAACCTCGAAAAATGGTGGGACGAAATTGTCGGATATGATAACAGGAACACATTCATAAAAGATGGCTTCCACAACTCTAGGACTATTGACTTCATAACCCTTGGCACATATACAATACTTGCTACTCTTCATGTACTGAACGTAGTTTTTGTTGTTTTTAGATTTTGGAAGCTTCCCGAAGATTTTCATATCGGGGTCTTTGTTTTCCCAGTGTTGTAAGAGAATCGGACGGAAGTTACCGTGCATTTGGCCAGCGAAGAACGCTAGTGTTGAGCGTTGGGAAGGGGGTTTTCCTCCAAATTCTCTTAACGGGTTCTTAGCTGAGCGAACGAATGTTTCTGGTAAAGCAACGTCTTTTCCCAATTTGAATCCTTCTTTTTTGACATCTGAATTACACAGAGCCCTTATGCAAGTATCCATATGTTTCTTTGTTTCAGATGCGGCCTGAAAGGAATAAAATCAAAGCCAAATCAACCTTCTTTTAAATGTTCAAGAAGAATTGGAGATGATTAATTGAGTTATGCAAATTAGAAAGTGTTAATGTAGCCTTTAATTCCAAAATAGCATGATGAGCAGATATGGCTTATTTACATTTATAACAGAATAAAAAGGAAATAAAAAGAAAGAGTGCCGAGCTCCACCAACAAAGCACCTCTCCTCGAATGTACTGATCAATGTTGTGTACTTCAATGGCGGAAACCAAATTTCTTTTATTATTTTTACAATAATCCCAGTAATGCCAAAGATCAAGGCTTTAAAATATGTTTAGATACAGATGCCAAGAACATCCTCCTATTCGGAAATCCCAAAAACAGAATTTGAAAAGCATTTGCTGAAGAAAAAACTGAAAGTTATCCAACTCGATAAACCAAACCAAACCAAACTCCAAATGAGCCCAATATATCCCACCCGGTGATGGGGTCTGGAGGGTAAGATGTACGCAGATCTGACATCTACCCTAGGGAGTAGAGAGGTTGTTTCCGAGAAGACCTCTGGCTAACGAGAAATGTTCGAAAGTGAAAAAAGCAGATAAGCTAAGATTTGAAAAGCTAGATGAGTAAGCAATAGCAGTAGAAATAGGAAAAGAGAGACAGCTATGCCTATGAGTAAGCAACAGCAAAGCGATGTGTGATCTTAATGGGGAAGCAAGACATAAAGAAGAAAGAGAATTCAAGAATTCTTAAATGTGCAAACACTATCATAATGGAACTTAGGTCAGATTGAGGATCTTATAGCTTACCCAGTCATGACAAGCGACGAAGAAATGATCAGATCCACCAGTTCTATTCCAGAAATTGTATCTCCCAACTATTAAGTCAAGATAGTCCTTCAAGTACTTTACCAAGTTTTTATGATTGTGAGAATCAAGCACATAGAGTTTCTCTTCCAACATTCGAGAGCTAAACGGAATGTAGAATAGATGGGCTTGTTTCGGTTTCTTGGTAACAAAATGTTTGCTTGCTTTCATATGCTTCATGAACCATCCCTCGGATGCATATATTCCCTTGAGCACTGCTTGTGGCTGGTGAAATATGGGTTTTTCTCCCTCCTTGTAAATGTATACCTTGAGAATCTTTTCCATTAAATCGTAGCTCCTGAATTTAGTAATATGATAATTGTAAGAATGCATGTTCAGCCATCTTTTTTTTTCCATGACTGCTTTAACACAAATCTTACTAAATAAATATATTGTTCTGTTTCGTAGCTGTGATGACGGCAGAATTTTTTTCCCAAGGTGGATGAAAAGTCAGTTTTCTACAAGCTTTTAAGAATGCAAGGATAAACAAAGAAAATACACACACACTGTTTACTTTGAGTCTTGAACCCATAACCACTAAGTTCAAAGCATCAGTTAGACACCAGTAGCACCAAAAGCCATTCTGTTATATACCTTAGTTAAGTACAACAAACATAACAGACACTAAGAAATTGCACATCCGTTGCAACAAGATTGCTATACATGCAATATCTAATTAAGTGCATTGTGTACAAGTATCAAGCCGAGTCAGCCAATTTGTCCATTTTTTGTATTCTTTGGAAATTTGTTTTCTCCCTCCTGGTGGTACATCATAGGTACAACAAAAAAGGGGTACTTTTTTTTTCTGTATACTTATAATTAACCAGTGAGGCTCTGCAGATGATATAAGACTACAAAGTTCGAAGGTTTTAAGTTGTGCTTACCTCTTAAACCTTGAAATGTTAACATACAGGGAAGGATGAAGTGTATGATCGTTGTCAATGGCAGGAGCATTCTCAATCTGCAATTTTGCATCTAGTAATTCTTGATCAACTGTTGAAGACCATCGTGGTTTCTATAGAACAGAGAAGATGTCATATTAAAGAAACAAAAGCAAGCATATAACCAGTAAGAAACTGAGTCTGACATTAACAAGATCATGTGACCATAATGGGAAGTTAAGAGAAAAATGTTCCATACCATCGAATGAGATGAAGCACGATTATTAACTAACATATCATGCATCTCCAAGATTGTTACTACTTCCCCCATCGGCCTCTCATGTGTTCCCTTAACTGGAGGAACTTCGTTGATAGATGATTTATTGTCTGATGGAACCGAGCTTTTCTGTGATCCCCCAGGTTCCTCGATATCTTGGACAGAGTTTGAATTACTAACATTACCGATAAGAAAATCAGCACCAGATTCTGTGGCCTTCTCAGGTGCCAAAACTTCTGCTTTTTCTACCTCTTCTACCCCTTCTCTCGATACATCATCTCCTGTTTCCATGAATTCATCCATGTCCGCATTCCTTTCTGATTCAAAATTTCCAGATCCCACATCATCTCCTTTGTATATGGTCCTATTATCCTTCCCAAGTATACCAGCAGGCTTTGTATAGTTAGAGCTATCAAAACGGGTGATGTTCCCCAATGTTTGGGCCTTACTGGCAGAGAATAAGGATGATACAACATCACCATACGGAAACTCAAAATACTGGAACATCATAAACAGAGCAAATACCACTGCCACAAGCGATACCAATCTCTTTGTTTCCAATAAATACTGAAGTTCTTGACTCATTGTGATAATGCACTTAAATAACTGGTATCTGGAAACACAAGGATCCTACCACCGCTGCCAGATTAGCACTGATTTTATCAGATTTACTTTCACTAACTAGTAATACTACATTTGATCAAAAAGAATATAGTACTACTACATTAACCTTTCCACGAGCACAGGAAAGAAACATGTAAAAAAAGTTACATGTTAAGTTGTAAATAAGAAGAACAATGATTATTAGCAAACCAATATATGAGACCATTCATCATTCTCACCACTTCAAACCTTCATTGAAAGATTATAACTATTTAAGGTACAACAGGTCTTCAATAAAGAAGGATTACACACGATTTCACAACGATCAATTGGCTAAGGCATTATGTTGACATGATATATCTCAAAGATCCCATCCTCTAAATGGCTTCACCATCTCCAGATGTAAAATTAAGAAATAGGTACATAGGTTACACCCTCCACCCAAAAAATAGTTATTATTTTAATTGAGCACAGAATGGGCGACTTAATCTCGACAACAAATATTTTAGGCAGAAGGATGTTATTGGTCTTCAGATTTGCAACAAATTCCACATTAATTTCTAGATAAATGATAGTAAGCAAGATATAAAGCACAGCTCTTATATAAAAATAGACAGTTGGAGGGTGGGGGACGATAAACTTCGGCTTAATTGTGTTCTAGTTTACCTTCTAGTATGTTATTGTATCAATTAAAAAAACTTCGTCTACTTTTATATCAACAAACTAGCCTATCAAACTATCAGCTGAAATACCCAAACAGAGAATGATTATAAACAACTTACTCCATAGTCAAAACAACCTAATTACCAACCATATTTTGCTCATTAAGTAAACAAACAGTCACCAAACTCAAACAATACGAAGCAAAATGCATAATACAACCCCAAATGAAAACCCTAGAAAAAATAGTAAAGCTTAGGATTTACATAATCCACTCAAACAATCAAATAATCGCAAATTCCATAGCAAGACTAGTTCCCTCGATCATAAAATCAAAAACACATGAAAAAAATAGTCATATCCCCAACTCAGTAATAATTGTTGTCTGCTATTTGAATCGAATAACTTTGACAATAGAACAAAATTTGCACACGGATCTTTCTTTCTTGAATTGGTCAAAGTTCTTTGTTTCAATCAGAGCAGATAAACTGATACGAATAATAAACGTATTTCCTAATAGTTTTACCTGTTGGAGAGCAGCAGCAGCAGCAGCAGCCGCCATGGCTGAACGATTTGTAAGCTTCCTCCAGGATTTTATGCCAGACGTGTAGCAAAGCATAGAAGAACGTAATACTGTAGCAGCTTGATTGGAAAATGATCTGCCGTCATATTACTCTAATTAATTGATGGAACTTTCTAATTGGCCCTTCTACTTCCAAATATTATCCTTTTTAACTCTAAATTGTGCAAAAGGTGCAAAATGGCTATAGATTTTTGCACAATTTTCATTAATAGCAGTCTATTTTTTATACGTTTGATAGTAGTTTACTACGAAAGTCTTTCCTTTAAAGCAATTAGCTATTGGTTAAGCCAATTTACTAGTCTCCTCAAGGCCAATGGAGGTTTTCTCGACCATCAATTTCAGGGTCTCATAAGATTAGTCGAGGTGTGCACAAGTTGATCTAGACGCATACAATTATTAAAAACTATTAATCGCTCATCTTTTATGATTGTTACATAAGCTAATATGTCATCTGACAACTAAAGTGACATGATGCTATGTTTTGGTTGTTCTTATTATGCACATTCTCCAACCACTTAAATCCCAACCAACTCACTCAACGACTTTCAACGCCCTACTCCAACTAATGCGAACTACCTCATAGTCAAAACTAGCTCAATACCTAGCTAAGGAAGGGAAGGATGGTAGGTGGAGACAGTGTAGGCCTAAATCGGCTTAAAAATAAAATAGATACATAATTGGTAAAATTCTGTTACGGGTTTTTAAACATCAACTTTTTCAAACATATTTTTATTTTTTTAAACTAATGTTGATTCTTATGACGAAAGCAGATGAGATGGACAATATACCGTTGGCATTTGTTATTTTTCAAAAGTTACAAAATGTGCACAAGAATCTAAATGGATCGACTTGTTTTATAGTTATGTTTAGTTTGAAATGTCAAACTTAAGGTAGTGTTTGGTATGCAGACTAGATTGGACAGGACAGGACGGGACGGGACGGGACAGGACAGGACTAATTGTCTGTCCCATGTTTGGTACGACTAGGACAGGACAGGATAAAACTGTTAAAATGACCATATTACCCTTAAATGTTGTTCAATGTTATTTATATCAAAAAAAAATTCAAACTTGCATCAAAACGGGTTTCTGTGAAGAAGTATTTGCTGAAATGCAAATTACGTTTTTGGAAGATTATATGATTTACGGGAACTGGTATTTATGGAATTTTTGTGTAATATTCGAAGAGAATGGAAGAAGAAGTATAAGAAACTAAACAAAAACATAGACTGTGTGGGCATTTTTGGAAATATATAATTAATTATTTTTATAATAATTATATAATTAATTATTTTTTTATAATAATTATATAATTAATTATTTTTTATAAATTGTGGAAGAGGCGGGTCATTGAAGGAGGTTGTGGTAATTCGGTTTTCTATTGAAAATAAGGGTAATATAGTCAATTGATATTTAGTCTCATGTTATTCCATCTTTTTTGGTGGAACAAAAACCATCAAGTTTTGTCCCATGAAATTTAAAAATAGCTCCATCTTATCTCATGTATTTTTTGTCCATGGCATGCCAAACATGGGACTAATTGTTTTTCTCCCGACCTGTCTCATGTAATCTGCATACCAAACATACCCTAAAGGGGTTGGATTGGCATCAAGTAGAACATAGGGGTGTCAAATGTAAAGTTGTTTCATTAATCATGATGCACGGGAAAAGGTGCTCATTATTGAAGACTTATAATATGACCAGGCCACCGCAGGACGCAAGAGCCTATAACAACAACTTGTTATGTTCCTTAAATTTACTATAAGAAGGGGCCCTTTTAACTCTCTTTAAAAATTAAAGAAAAACATAAATTGGTTATAATTCATTTAAAAATGCATATGTAAACTTGTATGAATAATATGTAATGTTAGTTCATGTATGCATCTTCAAATAGATTTTATTGGTGGATACAGATATGAACATTGTATTAATCTTCTTCTTTTTTATCTTTTCATAATATTCAGCCTTTTTATTTGAATCAGCCCTTTTTATACAACTTTTATGTTTGTATATATTAATTAAATTAAATAACATAAATAATTTTTTGAAATAAGAGGATGAGAATAAACAATTTAACAAAATAAAAGTAGTCGGAATTGTCATAATCATTAATGTTGTAAATGATTCATTAGATTTAACTATTAGATAAAAAAAACTTATAAATTATATGTAAGATGTGAGGTTGTGATTTTTATAATAATCAAAGAATAAAAGGTTAAATAACAAAAAGTTATTGAATATAATAAGCAAACAAGTTATAAATAAAATAATGAGACGTATAAATATTACAGAAAACCATGTACTACCTACAAAACCTTATTTCCTTAAAACACCTAAGAAAATCTTCAAATAAATTCTTTAAAATAGAAAATTAAAAATCAAAATCTTTTATGTGAATGGGGAGATAGTCAAATGTCTCTATCTGCCGTCTATAATTATTAAACCTATCGAATGGTTTTGATTGATTTTTACAGGTTTGTTTTTCACATATGTTGTTTCATCTATGAAACAATACATGAGACTGGTTTTCACGGTTCCTATCTATATGATTTGCGGTCTATAAGATTATTGGCATGAAAGCTCCATGAAAACCGTAAGGCACTCGACTTGGCAAAGTAATGACCGAAACGGGCTCACTTGTAAACTTCTTTGCATCAATTATGAGAACCTGTAAAAGCCAATTGATCCAAGAACAATCAATATCACTCCAGCTCCGACTCTGATACCATGTTAGAATATATAAACTCCTTATGAATTTCTCTTTAAAACAACTTCTACAAAGAGAATAGATGTTATATATATATACCATTTTGATGATCTATGTCTAGCCAATATTTACCTGAGATACATTCAAATGTTCATTGTGTATGAAAGTGATCACCCAACCATCGTCTTCTTCAAGACCCCCTGGTTTTGGCACAAATGCAGCACCTGAGCAGAATGTGTTCTCTGGGAATTTATGGTACTCCATTTCTACATAATCTTCTTCTCTTTTGTCCTGCCAAATAGTGTGTATATATATATATAGTTAGCGGTACGAACGCTATGATGCTTCATATGTAAGAAAAAGGATGAATTAAACCAAAGAGGTTTTGGCCTAGCGGTATGTGAGTCTTTGGCCTCTTAGGAGGTCAGACGTTCAAACCACACCAAATGTGAGGAGAGTGTGTGAGTTTATTTGTTCAATTTGCCGTATAAAGATATTATATACTTAAAAAAAAAAGATGAATTAATTGTGTTAAAAATGTAAGAAATGTCAAATATTATATGTTCTACCATTGAACTCGATCTCGTGTCTTCCAAATGTAGTTTCGCTAGTCCTCCATATTTAGGCATGCCTGAAATGGAGCTCGCATTCGAATCGACAGCTTGGGCATACCCATATTTGTTTTTAAGGCCCATAAAATGTTCATTGATCATTGGGAAATCCATCGAATGTGTTGTTCCTGTGAGATATCGTTCTTTTACCTCTCCGGTTTTCATGTTTAATCTCCATTCGTAAGCCCGAGAGAAGAAGGATTCGTCTGAATCGAAATCCGTGTTACATTCTCGCTTAAAACGACTTGAAAACCACTCAAACTTGTTCAACCCCAGATCAGGTCCTGGTATAATCGAGTCGCTTGCTCTAAATGCCCACATGATTAGCTGTTTATGTTGCAAATTTTCCCCATTAACAATCATTACGCTCGTGTGTATATAAACATAGATGGTTCACTACAACAGAATCGGTTTTACAAGAGTTGAAATATGTTTAAATGTCCCAAAAGTCACTAGGTCCGTAATTATTGCGGACCCACTAAACAACAAAATTTTAGAGTTTTTGGCTCAGGTCTGTAATTACCACAAATCCACTCCAAAACTCATTTTCCTTGAATACATAATATGCCAGATCCTTTAAGTGTCCACCTTTATAGGAAAATGGGTTTTTGTGGTTACGGACCTGGCTCCAAAAACGTTGATTTTTTGTCGTTTAGTGGGGGTAATGCGGACCTATTGACTTTTGGGTAAAGTCCGGAGAGAAATAATTATGAGGTTAATCTGATTGTGGAATATGGTCATTTGAGTCAATTTCTCATGTTTTGGTCCTATAAACATAAGTCCTATAAAACAGTCACATTTAGACATATTTGACGGTCTATAAAACCAATTTTGTTGTAGCTAAGTTAGATCGTTACAAAGATACCAACCTCATCTCCATCCTCGAAAGTATTGATAATATGAAACACGCAACATGTTTCCACATCAAACCACCGAACGGCATCTGAATCACCAAAGCGTGGCATCACTCCGATCCTCGCATATCCCTCTCCATCGTATTTTATCAATCTGTTCGTAATTGTAAGCAAATATACATCAAGAGTTCATAATCAACATATTTCAGGAAATGAATTCTGAAGAACATGTATAGTCACGATGCTTACGGGCCTCCATTTGCAAGCCGTTTTAAGTCTATGGTTAATGGGAAATCGAGTATAACATTATATCTGCAAAAGGGTACTACATGAATCAGATCTGAAGAGAAATGTTGGCGCAGAAATTGGATGCAACGGTTAATTGCAAACATCTACCTTAACGTAACACCAATGTCATGGCAAAGGCTACACCTTTCGAATTTTAGATCTGCTTTGTGAACTAACTTGTTTCCATCAGCTGCAGTTAAACAATCATACATACATCGAATACAAAATGAAACTATCGTTAGTGTGGGTAGTTTCACTATCTGTTTTGTGGCTTTCCTTCTGTTAGATCAAATGAATCATACACATTACAACAAAATCAGCTTTATAGGACGTCAAATATGTCTAAATGTCTTAATAGACACACTTTAGTTTATATAACCAAACAATTGTGGGTCCAATGTAAAGGTGTTATAATAAGTTGATGTGATGGTTTTGTGTATCCACCAGGTTTTTAGTACACTTTTGAAATAAAGCTGTCATATATTAGGCTTTTTATATGTTATATCTAACTTGTGTTCTATGATCAATTTATTGTAACACTTTTACATATGATACATAATTTCTTGGTTTACGTCCTATAGAGCTGATTTTGTTGTAATGACAAGTGATCACGATCTCCAATAAGCGGAAAAGAAATGAGTTCAAGTACCTGAGATGATGCCAATCTCGAAGAAAGGTTTCATTGCGTTTACTCCCATCGTTACAAGCTCCCCGGAACCTGGAGCTTTCTACTGGAACAAATCATATGGTTTAAGCTACAAATGAAGTCATAATTTATCTGTCAAATACGGAGCTTAATATCACAAAATTTCACCTTCGGGTGTGCTGTGAATGGTCGATTCCAAGATCCATTCACATCCCAGTTTCCAAGTGTATTCAGTGTTCGAATGTCTATCTCTTGAGGCAAATGGTTCTCAGCTGCTGAATAAAACTTGCCCGAATGCTCAAAAACACTGGTATTGCTGAGCAGCTTGTTGACTGACCCAAACCTCATCTGCCCAAACACGAAGATCATCTTTAGAAAGACGATAGAAAATCATTGCAAACAGTTTCCACACTACACCAAAATCAGCTTTATAGGACATCAAAGGTATCTAATCGTCTTAATAGACTACTTTACGGTATTTAAGTTTAGAGGAACAAAATAGGACCCCTAAAAGCTTACTATCAACTTATTGTAACAATCTATTAGAACATTTAGACATATCTTACATCCTATAATTGTAGAGATGTTAGATGTGCTTACCAAATTGAGCAAATAAGCTGACAAAATAGCAGGAGAATCCCCTTCAATGGCAGGAAGAAAAGAAGGCCTGTTTCTTTGTTTCTCCAACTTGAATGTATCCGTTTCAACATGTTTATTGTTGTATGAAACACTCCATTTACCATCGTTTTCTTTCTTCAAATATAAAGCATGAAGCATTCCTTCTCCTTCTACCCAGATGTGGCTTGATCTCCCAAATATCGATTTTGTTGACTTAAACCCTCCAAACAGAGGATTTGGGCCTTCAAAATATTTATCATAATTTCATAAAAAACATGACAAAAAGAAGAGATTAAAACTGGTTTAAATTCCATACCGTTTCTTATATAAACACCCTCCGGAAAACCATCGGGAATCGTTCCATCGACATAAACGGCTCCTCCCATCTCTTCCACAGGAGCAAAATTACTCTATGTTCATTTAACAAAAGAAACCCCTAATTAGCCACCGTCAATCTTTGTTCATTGATAAACTATATACACATATATATGTTACCTGAGATGAGAGTGATGGATGATCGATAAACTGGAAGACTGAATTTGTTAAAATGTCTAATAATTCCATGGAAGTTTTCTTGATGATGGCACGAGGAAGTGGTATTTTGATGGGATTTTTCTGCAAGTCGCCAATGAATGGCTGTTGATCGAAATATGAATAACATGCTTGTTAGTCTTAATTGGCATTGTGAAATCGAGAGAAAGAAGGACAGATAAATGATTAACCTGGAAAGATGATAAGAGATGGTTTTTGAATTGATCGAAGTTGGTGATGATTGAAGGCTTTTGAGTACAACAATTTACCTGAATTGCTGTGCTGCAACCCACCATCACCATGGCTGGTTGTTCTTGAGAGGAACTCCAGTCTTGGAAATCATCTCCATTGACAACTGCTTTTATATATACATATACGAGTAACTACACTAATAGTCCCTGTAGTTTGCTCAAATTTCACCAATTACCACTATCGTTTTGAAATTACACCAAGACCTTGATAGTTTCAATTTTCCACATCATTTGTCCCTAACCTTAACGAGCGTTAAGTCTATCTTTAAAGCTAAAGGGATAGACCAATCATTTTTCCTTTTTTTTAATTAAAAAAATTAGTGCACAACTATATCCGACAATAGAGTCGACAACAATAACTTGACCCAATAACTTGGTCTTCAATAATATAAAAAACAAATGTTATTGAAACTTTACGGGGTCATTTGACTCCCAAATCAAGCCATATATCTGCTTCTAGTTATTGATAGGCCATAACTTGAGATTTGCAATAAAAGCTTACAAATCTCATTTTTATGTCCATGTTGTTACAGTTTTTACTCTTTTCTCTTACTATAAAGGTCACCAACAAGGAGGACATGAGGGGGTGCCCGGAGAAGAGAGGGGGTGGAGTTTATATCGTTTGTTTACTTTTTATTTTTAAAGAGTAAAATGTTTGTAAACAAGTTTTACATAGTTTTAGACTAAGGGACCGTTTATCAAACGCTTATTCGGGTAAGCGCTTACCAAGTCACGTTATCTTACTGGATGAATATGATAAGGACCAATAATCTTACCCGGTAACAGCGAGACAAGGATCAAAAGTCTTACCGAGTAAGTGAGGGCGACGACTCTTACCACGGTAAGCGCTTACCGGGTAAATTGTTGCATATGACGTCGTTTTGGTGGACTAAAATCTTACACGATAAGTAAATAATAGTATTAAATTTTACCGATAAGCACTTATCATGTAAGTGTTTGGTAAACGACCCCTAAAATTTTAATAACATTATCGAGATACTCCTCAACTTAATGAATGGACTTAAGATCCAATAGAGATAATGACGAATGATGTAAACAAGTTGAAATGAATGACGATCTGATGTAATTTTAAAACTACACGATGAGTTTGTAAAGTTTCAATAAACACAAGGACGACATACACATAAACATACTCGAAAAACACTTTGTTTTCCTTGTTGAGAAAACTCCAAATTTTTACCTTGACCTCTCTGTCAATTTCTAGGTTGTTTTTAAAAATATATTTTTTCGATAACAACTCTTTAATAAGGCTTATCTTTTGTAACATTTCTGTTATTCTTATTAAATAACCGACAACACCTGTTTATCGCTAAGTATTACTTAGGGGCCGTTTACCAAACACTTACCCGGTAAGTGCTTACCAGTAAAATTTAACACTATTATTTACTGACCATGTAAAAACGACATCGTATGCAACAATTTACCCGGTAAGCGTTTACCATGATAAGAGTCGTCGCCCTCACTTACCGGGTAAGACTCTTGGTCTTTGTCTCGTTCTTACCGGGTAAGATTATTGGTTTTTACCATATTCATGCGGTGAGGTAATGTTACTTGGTAAGCACTTACCCCCGCGTAACGGGCCCTTAGAGGTTCTTTGATTGGTTTTTCACTAAATCATGTATGAATAAAGTTATCTATGTGGATTAATCTATATGTATAAATTGAAAAACTTTTTGTTTGGAAAAGTTTTTTAAGAGTGTGTTTTTTAATTGAGAACCGTGGATTTGAAAAAAACTTGTTTTCTATATAAACTCCTCTTATATTTACAGAATAAGTCACTTTTTATACTATTAATTCCACTACAAGAAAATCGGGTTTATGAGATGCCAAAAAAAAATTAAGTGTTAATAGACTGCTTTATAAGGTTTAATTATAAGCCAAAAAGGTTGTAATAAGTTTAAAATACATCTTGGGTGTCATGATTTAGTCCCTCTCGTTTGTTGAAATTTTTTATTTTCAGCCTTATGGTTTTGAAATTATGATTTTCATCCATATAGTTTATCATTCATCATCTTTTTTATCCTTATGATTTAAAATTTATTGTTTTTTTGTCTCTATGGTTTACAATTCATTTCTATTTTGGTCTTCATACTTAAAAGTAATGTTCTGGCCTTAGGGACAAAAATAGAAATGAATTGCAAACCATAGAGACGAAAATCAGATTTTCAAAACCACATGGACGAAATCCACAATTTTCAATGAACCACGGGAACGAAAAACATAAATTACTCGATATTTTTTTAATAAAAAACGTGCATTAGCAATTTTATAGGATAATATTTGGAAAACTATCCTATAAAAAGATGTGTTTATATAACATTTTCTCAAACGTGTCTTATAAATTGCTAATACGACGTCTTATATTAAAAATGTCCTAAAAACTTGTTGAAACACTTAAAAAAAGGTCTTATAAACTTATTACAAGGGTCTTTACATATGACACATTTAGTTTTTGTTACTATAATTTAAGTCTTACAAAGCTTTCTATTAGGTAGCTTAAAATTGATGTCATCCTATAACTCAACTGTGTGGGTCTTATAAAACTCATTAAACTGCTAACAAATTGATCATTGAAATAGGTTTTTTCTATAAATTTCCATTCATGGTTTGTTTTTGAACGTACCATTTTAGACCGTTGATTTATAGTCAAATATTTTTATTTGTAGTTAATATTTAAATATCTTACTAGAAGGTTACTCGTGCAATGTAATGAGATACATCTTGATCTTAATATTTCGTTTTATTTTGTCTTTGTCAATGTTATAATACGGTTTTATGTAGTTTTGAGAAAAATATAAAACTGAAGACTTGGTAAAATTTTGAAAAGAAAATATAAAAGTTCTAGTTTCTTTTGTTATAATTTAATTTATGTTTAATAATAAAGTAATTGATTTTTGGTTTAATAATATAATTTTTTTATAAAAATAATAATTAAGTTTTCTAGTAGAACTCAATGATTATCCTAATTATATTTTAGAATTTTTATATTTAAAATGAAAAGTTTTTCCTGTATTTGATTATATTTATCTAATTTTTAGTTACATGAATTCAAACATCGAGCTTTAATAAGTTGTATTTATATAAAATTTACTTGTAAACTTGAATTTTAAGTAATATGCGTCAATTAACAGTACTTTATGCATAAAAATGGTTTTTAATAAAAATGATTTTTAAGAATTTTTATCAAATTCTGTATAATATAGTATAGATTTTTTTTTTTTTGTTAAGAAGAGTAATAAAAACTTTAAATATCGTCATTATTTTCCGTTTACTTTTTTATGAAAACGATAGTTTATTTGTAAAGAAAAATGCAATTACTAAAATTAGCTATTAAACCAAATAATAAAATAAATAAGTTTGGAAACCAATGCAACCCAATAAATTGAAATATTTATAAAAATAATGAGAGTTCATTTATTATGATTTAAATATTTATGAAATATGAATATAGTTCATTAATTATGATTAATATTTTATATTAGAAAATAATCAAAACTTCTATAAATTACATATTCATCAAATTAAATGAACGGTTCAGATTGAGTTATATTGGTTGTACAAATATAAGAGGTTGTATAATAACTCATATATATATATATATATATATATATGTGATCAAATGCAAACCACCTAATTTGTACAAACCGTGCAAACCACCCTAATCCGTCTATTTCATTGTTTAATCTTATGAAATTGTTTCATATAATACTTTTTTTTGATGAAATTGTTTCATATATGGTTATGAAATTGTTTCATGTAATAATGAAATTTTAATGGAACTGTTTTATGTATTTCTCTAAAATTAAAATAATGAAGATAATAATATCTATGATTAACACTCTACACAATAAAAATGATTAATCAACCTCTCATCATGGGCGGACCTAATGTGGTGGCATGGGTGGCACGTGCCACCATATTATTTCGCGGCCGAAGGGTAAAAAATTTAGGTTTGTTAACAGTGCTACCGTATCGTTTTAGAAGGTCTTACCGTATTTCTCTGAAATCCAAATGGTGCAACTAACCCAAACAAAACAAAGCCCAAATAACCAAAACCATACTTTTTGTAATTATTTTTGGGTATATATTGACCGTTTTCAAAAGATGAAGACGCATCGGGTACAAGTTTAGGAGTTGTTTATCGGTACTTAGGGCTGTAAACGAACACGAACGGAGGCTTGTTCATGTTCGTTCGTTTAACTTAACTGAACAAACGAACGAACACGAACGGTAAACGAACGAAAATCTTTGTGTTCGTGTTCGTTCGTTTAGAAATAAGGTGTGTTCGTGTTCGTTTATGTTCGTTCGTAAACATGCTAAACGAACGAACATAAACGAACATAAATAAATATTATTTGAATTCAAAGTAAATAAATAAAAGATAATATATTAAACTTAATATATAAACGAACATAAACAAACGAATATAAACGAACGGTAAATGAATGAACGTTCACGAACATAAATGAACGAACGAGACTCTTGTTCATGTTCGTTCGTTTAACTAAACGAACAAAATAAAATAGTTCATGTTCGTTCATTTATTAAATAAACGAACATAAACGAACTTCCCACCGAACGGTTCACGAACGGTTCGCTGAACGTTCGGTTCATTTACAGCCCTATCGGTACTATAAAAACTATATTTTTTGTAATTATTTTTAGATGTATATTATACTATATTAATTATATAGTGTCACCGTTTGAAAAAAATTCTGGGTCCGTCCCTGCCTCTCATAATTACAAAAAAAATGAACAAAATAAAAAAACTATAATTAGTTGAATGAGGTGTGTATGATTTATATAGATAAAACGCGGTTTGCAAAGTAAACCTCGTCTCTCTATATATATATATATAATTGAATAATTGTGAGTTGCGACAACAATTTGGCTCCATGGAAGAATCCTTACACTACGTTAATTTAATATTACAATACAATCCATATCCACTTGTTTTGTATCGTTTACTTTTTAAGCTATGATAAGGAAAACAAATACAAAAAATACAAATAAAAATAAAAAAC